TGTCCGTTCGCACTCATCAGCAGGGTCCTTAAGTCTGCTTTCGTGCCATTGTGCGCTTTGTTTAATGTTATGTAAACTTTTGCTCTATGGCTACTCCTGCCCCTCCTGCTCGTCCTGCTCGTCCTGCTCGTCCTGCCGCACTCACTTCGACTGGGGCTTCTATCTGTTCGGCCATTCATTTGCCGCCTTCAGATGTTTTGCTGCTCGTTTGGCCACCTCTCCAGTTCCAGTTCCAGCTCCAGCACCAGTGGGCCCACTTAAAGGTCCTTAAAGTTGCCGGCAGATTGAGTCATTGCATTCAACCCGGAAAACGGCAACTTGAAACGGGCCACCCCAACCTCACCCCAACGCACTCCCCCTCGCACACTTGGCTCTCGATTTTTGCAGAACTGACAAATTTCTTGCCTCGCTGGCTGCGCGAGGCCAAGTGATTGATGACTTTTCAATATGGCAACCGCATCAGCCACAAATGTAAATACTTGCCCCTCGTCCTTATCGCGCCGCCACAACCCCTCACACCGCCGGGATTTCAGATAGACCGCCGACTTCCATGGCATCAAGTTAAGCACTCAATCGTGGATTACACGCGTTTTATTTATGATTTTCCTTGCTGGCATTACGGAATGTTTCCCTTTGGCTTATTTTTATTGTCATTTATTGTCGGTTTCGGATCTGCGTTCCCCCTGGGAGGTTGGCTTCGATTTTTGCTTTTACTTTTCCTCTTTCGCCTGACGGGTTCGCTTTTTACGCTACAACTTTCGGCTGGGCAACTTTTCTATGCCCAACTTTTGCTGCCAAGTGGCAACATTTAATTGCTCAGAAAAATATTTTCCAAAAAATCAAAAACGATGAAGACGAAATAATAAAAATGTTGTCAATTGTTGTACTTTATGATGTTGCTTAAAAGTTTTCAACAGAGGGGAGAATTCGGACTCGGCACTCGAGCAATTTGTTGTATTTTAGATTTTGTTGTCAGCTGAATTCTAGTTAAAAACTTTTGTGCTTTTCAGACTACAGTTCTGTCGGTGGAACGGAGGGAGTTTCAATCTCTTTTATTCCGTGGGTATCCCCGATCATCGCCTTTAGTATTGGTAATGATAAGTAAAGTAGATATAAAGGCGATGCTTATTATTTAGGCCACTCTGTATGCTAGTGATGAATTCTAATAACTTTATTCGCATAAATTTAATCCACTCGCAGACATCATGTATTTGAAAGCTGTGCTTTCGACAAGCAACCCCATTGAAAGCGCCCATTTAGACAGGTCCAACCGAAAAAACTCCGTCGACTGCTATATTTACTTCATAGCGAAGAATGCTCTGTGAAAAAATAACCATTTGACCCAACGGATGTGTGCCAAAAAATCTGCGGAAAAAATTAAAATTTTAATGTTAGCCATCAAAGCACGGAGCCGATTAAAGCACATTAAGGCTTTAACTGCCGAGTTCGTTACAATTCTTGGTATTTCTTTCTATCTCGTTTGCCGGTCTGCATGTGGACTCTTTTATTTTTATGTGCGTTACTCGTTCAAAGGGTATACTGTTTTTCTGTGAAAGTACAGAAAAGTATATTTGATATAGTAAAAACCAAAAGTTGAAGATCTACTCTGAATTCAATTTAAAGCTCGACGTCACTCAAAAAAGGATGTATATTTAAATGATTTAAATGAAAGCCTGAGTGTATCCAACCCTGTTATCCCTTAGTTTCAACTAAAACCCAGCTTTATCTTAATAAATTAATAATTATAAGTTTTGTTTTTGGTGAACACAATGCAGCTGCCAGTAATAGTAAAGTAATTAACGGGTATTATTTAGTCGACTAAACTTTTTTCGTGATTTTCTGTTTCTCAGCAGCGATAGCGGATTTCTATGCTGATGTTTGTTGTTTGCTCGCTGCACTTAATGTAATTAATTTTAATTAAAATCCAGCGGGAACGTGAACAAAAAATTTGCCACAGTAATGAGCACGAAAGTCCGTCTATCCGACTGACTGAGTGTCGAATGGTGAACTTGCCTCGCCCCCCGTTTCCCCATTTCCCCTCCCCCACATCCCCTCGGTCGCATTTCTTTTCGCGCCTGCAGAGTCGAGAAGAAAAAAAGGTAGCCTGCCTTTCAGCGCTATCCTTTCGTGGGTTAAGCGCAAATAGCAACAGACACTGCTGAATGTGGGCGAATGTGGGTGGGGGGTGGGTGCAACGTGGGGAGGCTGCGGTGGCGCAGCGAGTGTGTTTGGATACTGCTGGCCCGTAAATTCACATTACAACTACGGTGAAGCGTTTGGTAAACATTTTAAAGTTCCCATTTAAATTATGTACTCCGCTCTCGGATGTTGCACTTTGCAAGCAGGATCGGTGGCAGGACTGCGAAGGGTTATCAATGGAATTTGTTTACAAATAGTCAAGCAAATAGCTAGCAAATGAAGCCACATGTGTTGTGGGGAAGCTTCAGAGTCGACGCATTTCAACTAAATGCTCTTTTTGTGTCGAAACAAAAACCTTGTCGTGTGTATTTATATTTTCATATCAATACAAGTACAAACATTATGTATTCCGTATATTTGGTTTCTGAACACTGTTCGTAAAATACAGACTGTTAAATTATAGTTTAAAAAATGATTATTGAGTGTAGAAACAGTATTTCAAACATACAAGTTATCGTTCTAGTGTGCGGATGGACGTTTCACTTTTCACACAACTTACGGAAAACAAAATCATGGCAAAGACCCTTAATGCACACAGATACCCATATGCGACAGGCAGACAATAGACGCCCCACTCGGCCGTAAGTTTTCCACGCCCCGTATTGACAATGGACGCGAGTGTGCGAGCCTGTGGCACCTGGTGGGTCCTGGAAGCTTCTCTGCTTCTCCGACCGGCAGCTGCGTTGCACTTTTTGTTGGCCGCCTTCTATGCTATAAACAAATAAAATTCTTTTCCACTGGCACCCATCCCCACATATAGAGGCCCCAACTTGGCTCTGCTTCTCTGTGTTTGCCTAGACATTGCATTTTTACCTTCTATACCGATTCACGCGCTGTTGCACAAAGCAAAGTCGGCGTTTCCTGCCCGCCCCATTTTCCACCTTCTGTCAAGGCTCAATTGCTAGGCTACGTTTCGCTGGCTCCTCGAGTTTCCCATGCGAGGAGCGGCTGGCTGGAAAATGCAAGCTGCGAGGTGCGGCGCGTCAAACAAATAGAAAAATGTTGCACGTGGCTGGGAAAATTAAAATAAATCAGAGCCAGTGGAAAAGAGCACTGTGTGGCTTTAGGCCACCGGCTTTAAATACTTAAAGTAGACGAAAGTTTTTCCTAGGTAAACATTTCAGCTGGTAGAAATTTTTAATTGATTAAAGTGCATCAAGAATCGGTCACGATTGACTTTAAAATCAAGCGAGTACATTTTAAACAAACCAGTGTAGGTCAGCTTGTTTTGTTGTGTTCATCAACATAAATAACTTCTCTACATTCAAAGATAATCTTTTTATTTCCACAACTATTAAAACCTGTATAACCTTTTCATTATACGAAGAACTTTTTCATTATCTGAACAACTTAAAGCCAGGATTTATTTGCATTTATTTAAGGCAGCCATTAAAGGACAGCAACCGCAGTGGAGGCGACGCTAAAGCGACCCTCAAATCCTGTTAACGAGACAGTCAGAGACACAAGCACACACACACTGCCAAGTACATACACACACATACAGTCGTGCAACGCACATCCGTCACAGCATAGACACAAACCCACCGCAGGCGCTAACTAGCGTGGACACAAACACGCAGGGCAGAAAGAACAACAACAAAGGCGGGAATAGTTTAAGCTGCTGAAGCGTTTGAGTGGAGCAAGGGGAGGGAAGGACAGAGGGAGAGGGAGAGGGAGGGACTGAAAAGTGAAGAGTTTATAAAATTAACATCGTCATGACATCCAAGCAGACGCCGGCAGTGCACTCGGCCCTCCGACCAGGACGTTCGGAGTATCCTTTGAGCGGTTGTTGCTGCCGCTTTGCATTTGTATGGGGCTAGTCTGATTTATGGGAGGGCGTGTGTCTGTGCGAGTGTTTACGTCTCGTGTCGTGTTGGCATTTGTCGTTACAAACTTAATTAATGCCACGCCGGGGAGGAGACTGCTGCGCTGCGCTGCCCCGCTCGGCAGTGAGCTCTTGACTTTTGTCGAGCCGGGCAAAAATGTGCAACCAGGACACGCTGTCAGTTTCAGCTGACGTTCGGTGTTTCGGCTGCCGAGTGTGCTCCTCTTTGGGAGGTCGCCAGGGAGGTCCCACAGATTAATCGGGAGCTCCCTGGGAATGGAATATAATTTGGAGCATTTGCAATCGTTACTTGGGGATTTCGTCAAAGCCATCGCCTGGCAACGCCGCAATCCTTTGGCGAAATCCTCCCGGCTTATGACAACTTCTTTCCCCCAGATTTCTGGGGGGAGAAGACGTACCCACGTCTTCTAGCCTTAATTTCGGTAATGCCATGCTGCTTACCCGGCTGGCAGTTAACTGTTATTGTTTACAGGACTCTCGTCAGGAGCCAGGAGTCCTGATTGTTTGCCCGAGCCGTGCTGTGCCGAGCTCCTATCCACTTGTTTGCTATTTGACTTAATTTAATGAAAATGTTGCAACCTGCAATTTACAAAACTAACGCCAACAAAACTTGAGCTTGTTTGCTCGCTCCTCCTCCGGAGGCACTAGAACGTCTTCGGGTCTTCTGCAACTGCTCCTGGGATGCGGGCTCAGTTCTAAGTACAAATCGAGTACGCTGCCATCTTTTTGCAGGATGGCGAAGTCAAACAAACGAATGCAAAAGGTTTTTAACTGCCTCAAGTAGTCGCAGAAGCAGAAATGTGCTGGAGTGGCACAAGACGGTGATGGTGTTTGCCGAAGGCTGGGGGGAGCCTCTCCCTTATTATGGTGATTGCTCTTGGGCGCTCTATATTAATATCATAGTTGTTCTTGAGTCGTCCATAAATCTGATTATTTCATTCCCTTCGTCTTTCAGCTCTCCACACTGGCTTTGCTGCTCTGAACCCCGCACTCTTCCCCTCATCTATGCGCAGATAATTTGCAATGATGAGTTATCAGAAAGGTAAGTCGCAAATCAGGGATACATTCATTACCCTCCTGGCCGTGACATATGCCAAATTGCTGGGCATTCGTTACCGCGGCTTAGATCTAGAACCCTGGGAATCGCTGACCGAATCGACAGTCGGCAGGTCAATCAATTTGTAAACGTCGAATACATTTCGATGCCACTATGTGTACGACTTTTTATGGGATTGCCCAAATCTGCGCCACAATACAATTTACAGTAAATCAGCTAAGGAGCAAAATTACGCGGGTCATCCTCAAACAATTTGCTCGACGGGGACAACAAAAGATAAGATGCGTTCGAGCATTAAAAAGGATCTGATTCTCAGACAGAAAAGTTGCAGTTTATCCCGGGGCGGGTAGCGATACAATCGAACAAGGGGGCTGCAGCATATTTTCGGGGTTGCCAATGGCCTGTCTGCCGACTAATGAGCTTCCATGAGTCGACATGAATTGGCTGCCCCATTGAGCTTCGTGGAGCATCGGAACGCCCTTCCTGCCGGTTTCAAAATTAATTGCCACCAGTTTGTGCTGGCCCGCTAAAAACGCGATGGCTCAGTGGCTTAGGCGGTGCCGGCCGAACATTGTTGGCAATATCCAATGCTGCGCCGTTCAATTAACTTGTGCGACAATCCAATCAAAAGTGTATTAAAGGCCCGTTTACGGGGCCATCGCCGTTCCCGATCCGGGATGCGGCCACGAGGCCATTTTGCAGAGCCAGCCGCTGTCGATAACAGCAATTACATAAATGTTTTTATGGCAGGAGTCGGTGGGAGGCTGGAGGCTGGAGGCGGTTGGCGGGCGGCGGGCGGCGGGCGGCGAGGCTCTGCCTATCGCGATGCAAAGTGCCCGAGCGCCAACAATCGGCTGACCAAATGCGATTTAATGGTGCCGCTGAAACAGCTGCAGCTCACTGTGTCCGCGGCAGAAAGTACTTTGCAATTAAGGCATACATTTACATTACGGCGCCCTCGAATGGGGATGGGGAGGCCCCGAAGGAGTTTTATCCGGAATTATGGCCCCAGCCAACTCTTCCAGATTCCCCTAGCAAGAGCCCCATTCACATTCCCAAGCAACGCAGTGTCCTTTGTCCTTTGTCTAATTTATTTGGCCACTTGTAATATTTAATAAAAACGCTCAATCGGTTCTGGAGGCACATATGACACACACACAGGCCTTCGGCTCGGGTGCCTGAATTCAGGCAATCAGAATTTTTATTTACATGGCTGCCAGGGCTTTCTCCGGCGAAGGAGCCAACCGTCTGCGGAGGAACACGTGCCCTTCGCCCCTCGACACGAACTACGTAAATAAGCGAAAGCGAACGAGGGACCCCTGCCTCCGCCTTACTTACTACTAAGTCCGGGAGGTCTGGGGGAAAACTTTTCCAATTTTCCCCTTTTTATCGTAAATTACGCACGATTCAATATTTGGCCTTTTTACTGGCGTGTGTTTTGTCTCTGCGTCGTCTGCCTTTTTTCTGCCTGACTGGATTCTGGAGTGGGTTCAAGGGGCTGGTTGCCATTTCTTTGCTATTCCCTGCTTTGCCCTTGCTATTTTGCTATTTCTTCTGTGTCTGCCTATCGTAAATAAGAAATCTTATACGTGCGTAGGCCTCTCATGAGATACAGTTTAATCCAAGCCCCCTTCCGCCGAACTCACTTGCTTTATGAATGAACCGAAAGTTGGTCTCTAATCGAAATTGGCCATGGTTCACAAGTGTAATGATTGTTTTTCCATGCGGGGTAATTTATTTAGCATTATTTATAAAGATGTTGGCTGAAAAAAAGGAGGAAGCGCGGTCAAATAATCGAGGAGAAAGTTTTCCCATTGTTTACTGCGGGTCCAAGTAGATTAGTAAGCTATGAGTGGCTCTAGGATTTGATCAAAAATTTAGCTTGAATAAGAAGACTTTGCAAGGATTAAAGAAACGTGTCTTTGCTCTAAAAATAGGGAATCATAAGTCAAAAGTGTGTAATGCATATTCAGTATAAAAAGTTATATATATTAAATATGTACGTTAAATGCTAATATCTTTGCTATCTTCGAAGCATTATATATACTGAATTGCCTTATGAGATGGAAGTTTCAGAATGCAGTTTTGTTGATCTTATCCTTGTAAATAAGAGGCTAGAATGTATATGTCTTTCGAAAGATTTTCGTGGCTGCTGCATACAAAATCAGGGCATGACAACGACGTCAGCACGTCTCTACGGCTTTCCCCTTTTTACCAGCCCCTGAACACACTCAGACGCAGGAACAATATATACACACACAGAGACAGAAAGGACATCGGTGAGTGCCGATGCTCTGCGCCCAATTGTATGCAACGGCTTTTGTGTCAAAATTTTTATGCCGTGCATGGCACGCAAACGTGTGCAAAAAAGGAAGGACTGTGGGGTGGAGTGAATAGTCAGACGGTAGACCCGAAACTACAGAGGAACAACAACGGCTGGGTAGTAAATTGAAAGACCGAAGACACGGAGTCAGTTGGCCAGAGGGGAGTAGGAGGGGGAACAGTACTAGACGACCAAACTGATTCAATTAAATCAGTCCAATTGAAGCGGCTGACGAAATGTGTGGAGAATGTGTGCACGGAATATTTAAGCTGCCACAAAGGCCGGCGAGGAGACAACGCACTTACTGCAACCTCGATTTAAATTGCGGCTTAAAGCCAGTCGGACAAAACCCCGTCATTATCGCAGGGCCAGCTCCTGCAGCCAAATGTTACCGCCGAAAAAGTTGTCGCAGCGCAATTTATACAAATAACTGAACATTTTGTTTGCGCCACACTTGCGCGCGTATTTTTTAATGTCCCGACGCTTTTTGCCGCCTGCTCGCAGCGGAATCAGCGAACCGAGCGAACGACAACAGTTTGAGTCGGGTCCGGACTGGATCCCGTGACTTTTGTCGCGTATCGTATTAATATCTCAATTTATAGCAATTTATAAAAATATGAAAAACGCTCAAATGGGTGGAAAATTCCGTGGTGGCGGGGCCTCCCCGGAAATAAAATTTAAATGTGCCTTTTTGTAGTCGATTCCCCATCCACCGCATCCGCCCACATTTGCATGGCCGCCAGTTGCGCCTAACGAAGCCCCGGGGGAATGAAACTGGAAGCTCCGGCTGCCTCCGCTTAAATGAGGATTTGCGCCGGGCCAGCTTTAAAGGGGATTCCAATGCAAATTTCCACATCCCAACGGGGAAGGCACTTCGGCAGTTTTCCATTTGGCGCGGCCCACTGTGCGCCCGCCCGAGAAGGGAAAACTTTTTAGCACCCAGCCCAGCCACTGGGCTCTGTGTGAAAATCACTCAAAATTGTGTTTAACTAAGCGTAAAAATTATAAGCAAATTAATTTGCACAAATCACAACAACAGCAGGGCGGCAAATACAACAATAGTGGCTGGGCCTGCAGCAGAAACTTTTATGAAACAATCGGGCAAAGGCAGCCTGCTCCGACGCTTTCTGGGTTTCAGAAGAGGGTTTGGTTCTGGCCCTGGTGGCTGGTGGCTGGTTCCTGGCTCCGGCCACCAGGATCCTCCAGCGCCGCGTCAGTGGCAGCAAAGGCAACCAAACGAAATGGGGAGCCGGAGTGGGAATAACCGACAATTTATCTGCATAAAAGCGCAGTGTGCAACTTTGACGTGGATGTCTGTCTTGATGGGGATTGATGGGTGTGGGCTCGGAAAAACTTTGCTGCCTGGCTGATGCAAATTTTACTCCAGTAGTGTTTTAAGATTAAAGATTGAACGGGACAGTTATGGGAAATATTTCAATTGCTCGTTAAAGCCAGTAAATCCACCCCAATTCATTTCCTCCTGCCCCTTATTCGGTTGACAAGTACAATTAAAACTTAGAATCAACAGAATTTCAAGAGCAACACAATTTAAACACCCTCGCTGAAATCATTGCCATCATTAATTTGCACACAACAAAAGGCGCTGACTGAAAGTGTCCTTCTGTTCACGAAAAGGGTCGGTCAGCGAAAGGGATGCCTGGATTGCTGGAAGGTTTGGGCCTGGAGATGCTATGGCAGTTTTTAATTGACTTCAATCGGGAAATATTCGGAGAAAAACTCTGCCGCACTCTCTGTTGCTTTTCCATTTGGAAAAATCAACAATCAAAGGGGGCGAAGGGAGGCGGGCCCACCCACTTGAGGCACATGTGCCCAGGACCTCTTAAGTCGCCCAAGGCGCAGGAAGCAGCATACGAAATTTCCCAAATTTATGCCTTGCCTTGGCAGAGGGCTCATTAGAGGACTCGGGGGCGGCGGGGGCTGCACGGAAGGAGGCGGAAGCAACGCCCATTTGCATTTTGTAAATTGTTGCCAACGCAGCCCTGAAATATTTGACAAGGGAGGCGTTGCCCTGCCCCAAACATTGCTCACTGGCATTGTCTGCGTTTAATTATAGGCGCAAATAAATGTCTATCATTTTGGGTTGTGTGGTCCAGAGCACTCCTCCCTCGCCTGAGTTATGTGCAGAGTTTTAATGAGCCATCGACATGGGCGGGTGTGTTGGCGGCTTTTGGAGGGGGAATGCTTGGTCTTGTCGCTTGACAGTTCTCTGAGCCGAGCAACTAATCAAGGCTTAGCCACGAGTTTCAGGACCTGCTCGAGAATCGCTTAATCTGGCTTTAACGAGGCTGACTCCTTTCGGCCGCGCCCATCCATCATCTGCCCATCGCCGGGCTGCATTCCACCCTTCGCTCGGTGGGAGACCGGATCAACCCCCTCATTAACGCCCCAATAATTAAACTCAATTAATGGTCAAATGACCAATCAACTGGCACATCAAAGGCAACACCAAACTGCAACATCGAACTGCACCTCCCCTCATTTCCCCAGAAGAGTCGGTCATGAAAACAACTCTCTGGGGCCGTCCGCTAACAACTTCATTTGTCTCTGTTAAGACCCGTCTTGGCTTAGCAACCAGGACTCCCGTCCAACTCCTTTCTCCACCGAAAAGAGTCCTTATCTGGCGGGGGTGGTTCAGTGGGGCTCGAATCTGGGCAAACCACACGCTGCGCTGTCCTTATCTTGACAGCAAACATTTACAAAAAGAAAACACCGAGTGGGGGCTGGTGGCCCGAACACGTCTTTATCGCAGCCAAACAACGCATTTCCAATTTTCCTTTCGGGCTGCTTGGCTGCTTGGTTGCCGCCTGCGATCTGGCTTTTAAATACTCCGGAGGTAGATTAATCATCGCTCCAACTCCGATTACCTGCTCGCCTCGGAAGCAACTTCCTCCAAATCCAATTATAATTGCGCTTATCAAAAATAAGTTTCGATACTCGTTGGCCCGTTGGCTCCTGCCAGAAAAGAGCTGACGGAGAACGGAGAAGAAAGACGGTGTCTCTGCCAATTTCACCAATATGGCAATTTAATCCACACAATCAGTTTAAGGCATCGCCATTTATCTTTCCACCAGGAGAGCGGAGGGTTGCTTGTATTACTTCTCCCCCGACTTGCGGTTACCAATCGGGGATTTCTTTCCTCGGCATCGCTCCCAATTACCTCAAGTTTAATTGAAGGTGAAATTGTATCAGAGCAGAAGAGCAAAAGTTGATGTGGTCAGCCGTTCCGGGGTAAGATTTTGGCCCAAAAGTTATACCAATGAAAAATGATATCTGTTGAGTTGTAAGTGGGGTGGATTAGAGGAGATTGAGGAGATAGTAAGTAGTTCGGAAGTAATGCGAAATCATTTGATTAGTTTCAACTTGCCAAAGCATTGTTGCTTAGGAAATATATAAATTTGCCGAGAATTAGCTCGACAAACGTCTATTTAGGCGGACCCGTCATCAAAAATGCCCATCAGGTATCCTTATTTGTGACCGCATTAACTTTAAAGACCGTCTAGAAATGTTGAAGTGTGATGAAATTAAAATTGTCCACAATCTAATCAAAATTGAACTGAAGTTTCATTGCGGCTTTTGGAATTCGAATTTAGGTGGCCGGCAGTTTCTATTTTTCTTATTTGTATATTTGTAAAATAATTTTTAGGGCTTACGATCTCTAAGGAAATGATCAATATTAAATATGATAATCAGACGAGTCGGGCGAGAATTTCTTTCGCTCCTACAGCTTCGATTTAATAGTATTGCGATTAAGTTTTTCTGATTAAACACTTTTAAGAACAATTATAACCGCTTTCAGCATTTATTATTTGTAATAATTTGTAATTCCTAAAAAAGTGGTCAAAAAGGATTAGGTTTAATTACTTGTGGCAAAATAGAGTTCGTACCTCGGCTGAAAACAGTGGCAGTTAAAATGTCGTTAAGTATAGAATCTTGACACTTGCTTGACAGGTTATCGAAATTCTGACACGTGCGAAAAGTCGCAGATACGAATAATTGGCATTTTCCAGTGGCAGTGAAACCAACGGAGGGCCTCGCTTAATTACATCCGCTCCGGGGCTGAGAAGTAAATTCTGAAGTTCCGAGGACGGGCGCCTCGCACTTTCCATTTCGTTTTAGGGAAATATAATAAATTCGCTCTTAAAATTCATTTCATTAAACACTCGCCATGAGCTACTACCCCACTACACCAGGAGAAGGACAAAGGAGCGCCGCAGCAAGGAAGTCCTTTGTTTATACTCGAGTTCCGTTCCCCCCGATTCCACCCCCTCAGTCCCCTTAGCCTTCAGCCGAACTCGGGCAAATTAAGCAAGCTGACAATTTTCTCTCTCTAAACTGTACAACAACTTAATGAGCCTGCATAACTTTGCGACAACAGCAGAAAGCGGCAAAAGCAGGAGTGGGGGCAGGCGGGAAACCGAAAGCTAAGGACTTTCCCCCAATTTCGAGAGGGCGGCAGATAAAAAAAACACGTAAACTTCGCCGGAGGCATCTCACTCGGCGAACGGTGGCAAAAGTCATTATTCACTGTACTAGCGGGAAGCTCATTCCCCGCGACTCCGACCTCGTAACGCCTGCTAAAAAATAATCAACTTTTGCACTGTCGACTGTCGACTGTCACCCAAGCCCCGGAACAGCCGACGGTGGCAAGTTCAGCGCAAAGTTTCGTGCCCGGCGCGGAGACAACTTCCGTATTGCCTGTGGGCCCATGTTGCATATGGCGAGTGGTGTGTGCCGAATGGCGAATGGCGAATTGCGATGTCCTAGCCCAAGCCTGGCCAGGCTCCCCTTACAAATGACGCATTAATGAAGTGATTTTGCTTTGGGAGCATTTCAGTTTTTAGATTTCCGCCTTTCGAGCCACGAGATGTTTCCGTGACACGACCGATTATCTATCTACCTTAAACTAAGTTCTAGAAGTTTTTATATACCTACAATTTATTATTTTCTAATTTTATGTTCGTAAAATTAATAAATAATTTCCTAAATATGTGTACAATTCTGTAGCAAGGCTTCCTATCCCATAGTATGCAGTTGATTTATTGAAAATTAAATTAATTTCTTGTTCAGTCATTGATTGATTGAACTTATTTTTATTTAAGTGCCACAGGTTGCCCTATTTTGTTACAGGATTGTTTAAGAATTTTTTTGAAATCTTCGGCTTCGTGTCACGAGAGCATCTCAGGACCCCAGCTCTCATTAACTTTCGCTTGAAGCTCTGGCCTGCGCCTCACTCCATCCAATTCCCAGTTTGTTGCTTTATGCAAATGTTTTTCTTGTTATTATTGCCTGGCCGCGATTCCCGCTGCCGTTGTTGTGTTTGTTGCTCTGGTTTTGCTCTTGGTTTTATAGGAAAACACGCAAAGCAAACAAAGTTGGCTCCGCTCAGTGTTTTCTTACATGAGAGTTTTCCCTTCGGTCTGTTTGTACATATTTTAATTACGCGTCTCTGATTGGGAAGCATTTGTGGCGGAGCTTGACATCCAGCGACTCTGCGGCACAGCTGTCGTCATCGGAAAGGCAATTTTTCGGTTAGCCAAGTGGTTGACATTTCGGGGATGCGGGTCAGAGGGCGGGTCGAAAGGGTGCGGAAGTGTTTGCTTTGTGGGCATGGGATTTTTTTAATATTTGCTTTTTTGAGTGCGTCCAGAAAAGCGATTCTAGTCCGGGAATTAGCATTGCAGATTGCCCGATGTTCGGGCCCCAAAGTGGAACATTGCTACAACAAGGCAATGGATAAATTAGGTGGCGTTTCGCAATTCATATGAGGTAATAAAAACCAGCTTCAGCTAGCCCCACCTCCCTAGCAGCCAAGAAAAGAAATCCGCACATGAGAGTCGCACAAAGTGTGCCATAGTTTCGGATCGAATCTCATATTTCGCCAACTGCTGGCGAATGAAGAGCCGGCACCATGTTGACTTGACAGTCTGAAGTTTCCGGGCAATTGACACCCTTTTTCAATCCGGCAGTGCAACCCTCCAGCTCAATCTGGGTCTTCGCTTCACGAGGGTAATTCCAATAAATCGGGGGGCGCCACCCTTAGCGCGGCAGAATATTACTTTTTTGCATAGCACACAAAACTTGATTATGTTTTCTCCGCTGCTGAATGATGGCAGACACTTTCGCGGGGGCTGGGCAATGTGCGCCAAAATCAAACTCCAATCAATAAATCGATGGGCGAAAGTCATCAGCATAAATTGTGCTGCCCAGACAATTAACAATCGACCTGCAATCATCATTAACAATGGCCCATAATCCACTCAACGTCGGGCAAATTGCCTCGTTTTAAATTGTAAATATAAATTTTGATGGCATTAAAGGTTATTAAGCCTGCAAATTTATTGTTGTGGCGAGTAACGAACCCTTTGCAAGGCTTGCGCCTTCGATAATTGTGTGTGCTTAATTAAATTTTCATGCAGGTGCCATAAATGATTTTCACCCCTGGCGTCTAATTAGATTTACATTTTTACGACCTTCTGCATTGACTCGACTGCGAGTCTTTTATTTAATTGCTCTGCTCAAGCTCGTAAATAGCTGCAAATCACATTCGCAGTGGGACAGTTAACACTTTAATCATCTCAATGGGATGGTAACACAGAACTAGAAGCTTGGTTAACGAGGGCCCTCCCAGGAATGCACCTTCCCCGGAGTCGGGAGTGGTTTGACATCCTCCTTCTGATCGCAGTCCTTCGTATCGGGGTCGGGAGTTAAGGGAGGGGGAGGGCCTCCATCCTTTGATCCTTCCCCGGACTTGGCCTGAGCACTTTTGGCTGCCTCTGCTGCCTTCTGCTTGGCCAGCATCTGCATCTTGTGTTCCTGGATCAAGTCGACGGAGGGTTTGACCAGTCGCCGGGGATCCCTTGTGTAGTAGTAGTTGGCGGACAGGCTCGACCCTGGACCCTGGGGAATGTCCGGAGGCGGCTGCGTCCGCGGGGAGACCGTGTCCGCGAATCGCAGGGCCGTCTTGTGGGTGCGGCCCAGGAAGAAGTTGCGGACGCGGCTCAGGAACCCTGCCACGTCGCGGTGCTTGGGCTTCGGGGGCTTTGGAGGCATCTCCGATTTGTGGGGCTGCTCGAGCAGTTCAAAATCTAGACAGTGACTGGGAAGTCAACTGGCAGTTGAGTACTAATACCAGGCAATCCCTTCCGCAGTTTCCACACGACTTGACGCAACAGTTGCCGCAGCAAGCTGCGAATAACTGCGGAGATGCCACCCCACGCCGGATGACTCAATTCAATAAGCGTCAATCTTTCCACGCGCTCAGCTGTCAATCAGCCTGGCATCGAAATCTGCCAGCGATGAATTTCAATTATGGCCACAGAAAAGAAACAAAACAGCTCGCCGGCAGGGGGAATTCGGACCACTTGGCCAAAACATTCGCAGTATCATCGAAGACAGTGCAAAAAGTCGACACTGGAATTAATAAAAACACTTCAATTTCCGATGCCAATCAGGGCGATCAGGGATCCCTGGACCACCTCCCCCATGTGATGCAAGTGTGACAGCAGCACGCGTCGGGCTTTACTGTACTTAGAGCGGTACAGCACGTCCGCCTGTCAAGATGACAGCCCAACAGCCAAACAGCCCAACAGCCCATGGCCGGATTTCTGCCCTGCGAACACGAGCTGGAGATGTTAATCACGGATGCGGATCCTTGAAACCCCGCTCGCATTGCATCTGATAAGCAGCTTGTCGAGATTTACGAAATCGAGCTGATTATGTCTTTGTGAGCCGAGGTCTCCTTGGACGCGTGTCAAAGGGTGGCCCGGTAACTTCCGAGCGCTGCCGATGTGTTTACCTTTTGGCTTTTCCAGGGAAACTAGAAAACGGAAGGGGGAGGGGTAGTTATGCTTTGGTTCCGAACGAACGAGAGCAAGTTCGTTGGCCATGGGAAATGCATAAATCAGATTGACTCCTCGCTCAATTTGATTACAATTTACGGCACACGCTGATAAGCCCGGCGAGCTAAATATCAGGTTAACATTTAAATGGAGAGGGGAAAATCCGGAGAAATTGATTCAATGTGTGAGAAAAAAAGAATTCAGTGTGAAAAAAGGTGCATTTCAATTTGCTCTCGATCCTGGATTGGGACGAATGTTCTCGGAAGAGTGCCTTATCAACGATGGTAACAAGAACTCACCATATGCAACAGTTTTGATAAACTCGCTCTGAGAAGGTTACTGAAAAATATGTTTTATGTTCAGTAGGGCAATCTTTCCCAACTCGGCGTAAGAAGCAATTAATCTTAAATCACTTCTTTTAAGAATGTGATTATTACCTGTTTATATTTATCAAGAAACTTCAACAAGAAAATAGTATAAATAATGATTCAAAAATAATTAACCGACCTAAATATGCCTCACAACGTTTTCGATCGTATTAAGTATGTATTATAAGGTATAATTAATTTAAAATTAATTTCTTCTCATGCTTAATCGACAACGACACACAATAATCATACAGCTTTTAACATAACATAGTATTGCACATAAGACCTTTTGGTTGAAACATTTCCATGTAATTTAAGCTGAATCCATTTGGGGACATTAACATTTTCGATTCGGCGCCATATTGCATGCAAGTTAAGGATACAATACATCAATATAATTGCTATCATTTTTTGAACAGAGAAATTAGATTAAGGGAGGTTTCGCTGCAGACGTGATTTACCTTATTTCCCTGGTTATTTGCTGTTTTCACTACAGAAAAGGAGCAGGCGGCAGATGGAAACCTTTAAAGTGACATTCGATGCGCCGCTGACTTTCCGGGGTGGATCAGCCAGGGCTCAGGTCTAGATATAAATGCGGTCGATGTGTGTTCGCCTTCTGATTGAACTAATTGACACATGTGAGGAGAAATGTACCAAAATATCGGTTTGGGATTTCGTAATTCGAGCCGGGGTTAGGCGAGAGGTGGCGGTCTCTCCGAGCTTTCCCTCCCCCGATGGCCCCTTCCGTCCTTCCTCCGTCTGCTTGTTGTAATACGATATGTCAACAGTATCCAGAGGTCGCAGAAAACTTTAAAAGCGCCGGGCGAACTTATGGCAATGCTGTGCGGTGTAAGTGAAAGCGAAAGTAGCGAAGGTCAACATCATCAAAATGTCTGTCTGGGCCCAGGCCGAGCGTCTGAAGGAGCGGCACACACATGCTCCAAGGACCTGGCCGTGCCCGGCGTGAGTCCTGCACTCCACTCCTGGCCGAAGTCGTAGTGAAAATGATAATGTTAAAGTTTTACAACTTAAGTCGTCAAAGTCAAACACACTCTGGGGAAATTACAAACACATTCGAGACAAGAATGTGAAGCACGAAAGTCGTTGTCCGCCGGGCGAGGAGCGGAATCAGGAGCGGGGGAAAGGGCCTGGGAAGGTCAAGAGATGAGGGTGGGCGCACAACTTTCCGAGTGCTGCGATGAAATATACGTACTCGCACATCCTCCGAACTTTACCTGCTCAAATCTTAAGCTCACTATCCCCTGTTGTTTGGCGCTCAAGCTTTTACAGCGCTTCGGGGTGGAATTAGTGACACGCAGCTGCCAGCTGCCCCCGCCTCGTCCCTGGCCCACTGCCGCCATTAGCATAAATAAGCGCTTCTAAGTACGCCCCATAAAGGTGTAAATGCTCCGGTATTATTAGCCAAAGGCGAGCCCAGGGACCCAAGGCTGAAGATGGAAGACGGAAGACGGGGAGCTGAGGGGGAGTCCGGCGAAACCGCTGGAAGCTCTTCTGTGACTTTGGCTGGCGCTAAAATTTTATGGCCTCCAACTCACATAAAATTTGCTCTCCAAGTATTTCATAAAATTTTGTTGCGCGTCAAAATTGTGGCACTCCGACTTGGAGTCGCACTCGAAGTCGACTTTCCTGGCCGTTGTCTCCCGCTCGAGGTTGTTGAAATGATGGGTGGACATGAAATTTTATTAAATGACTGTCAAGTTCTTGGCTACTTAACTTGGCTGTGAAATTAGCCTGGTTGGTGGGGCGACTCGCCGGACCTCCTGACTTTCGCTGACTAAGCAAATGGGTCAAGTTAAAGATTTTGCTCTGGGGATAACTCTGAGCACCGGCCATGAAGCGGAACAATGTTGCGGTAACTAGAAAGTGGGAGTGATGATGCATCTCGTATTTCAGCTCCGGGGGTTTGCCAATCCTTTGCCAAGTTATCTTCGCAAAAGTTTGTGCTGCTCAGAGAGCGCTTTAAATTGTTTTCGGCAGAAAAGTTTTTACCTCCGGGCAACTGCCACTTCTTCCCCAGACCCATGAAGTGCAAGGAGCCTATCGGAGACTCCTGCCCCTCATTAAAATGCCCCAAACGTGGTGTTTATGCACCGACAACTGTGCCTTCTCCACAGGAACTCCTCCTCCCCACTAAGCACACCCATTTGCCTGGCAAGCGAACACTGGCTTTGTTCGATTCATGCCCACGTTTATTGTTTTCCCAGTCATTTTCAGCATCTTATCAATTTGACTCTGAGGCACAGGCTCCGGCAATAAAAGAGTAACCATTGTTTCCTGCGCCAACCGCCTTCCGCCGCCTCTGTCATTGATAATGAAGACGGCGGCAACATTGTCTTCCCTTTGCCAGGACCAGAACGTGACTCTCTTATCAATGCGACTTATTGCCGCAACGCAGCCTCCCTGCTCCAGGGGGCTGTCCTGCCACGCCCGCCATTCAGATATCGCCGAAGCAATTAAAATTTGTAGCTATCGGCGGAGTGGAGCGCTCCGAATTCGGCGTTCGATAGCGGCCGTTCGTCGTTTGCAAATCATTTCGCAGTTGCTCAAGATTCCCTGCCTCCTTGGCGATTCCCCGGGGGTTCCCCATCGCTCATTTTTCATACTGACAGCCCAATGGGCGTTAATTGCGTGGGTTTGGTTGAGGTTACGGCGTCAGATAAGCGCGCGTGATTTTTCTACGAATTCTGCGCCCGGAGGACACCAGCCGCCCTCCCCCTTTTCCCCACAAGGGATGAACCCCCATTCGGCGATTTAAATGAGGCTTCAGCCTCTCCAGCTTGGCATTTGGCGGCAGGCGGTGATAAGGAGAAGATGCCAGAGGTTTAAGGAAGCGGAGGATGAAATACAATTTTTGAATTGGCAAAACGTGCAGCAAATGGCTTAATTACGTCTGAAGAGATGAGCTTTGATTCTGGCTTACGTAGGTGGGGCTGCAGCAAAGTGGGCATTCATATTTTTAATTCCTTCTGTTATTTTGGCAAGCCGCATATAGAACGATTCATGTTTAAACTAAGATGTGAGTGAAAGCTTTTAAATCCTCGACATCTGTTCTGTTTTCACTGCTGAATTTGTGCGTGCAAAAAGAGGTATTTATCATTTCAATATCTTTGCGGTTGCCCACTGTAGGTGCTACCAAATGATTCCCTGAAGCACCTCCACTCCCCGTTGCCGCTGCCTAAGCTCCTCCTGCCTCGTCCATTTAAATGCGCATATTTCACAGTTAACATGCCTTGACAACATGCCCTGCCGGCTTTCTTCCTTGGCCCGCTCTAAATATGTAAACAAATAGTTTTGGCAATTGCCAAGTGGGGCATGTCAGACGAACCCTGGCCCGGAGCCCCGAGCAACCCCGACCCAGCCGTAACCCCGGTCCCCGCAGGTCGTCCAGTCAGGCTGCATGTTGTGGCATGCGGTTGTGCACCGGCAACAACTTTTGCAACATGCAACCAGACGACTGCTTCCCCTCCATTCGCCGCCCTCTGCGGGCATGGCAGAATAAACGAGGCCTTAAATCGAACTCCGTACACGGGTCGTGCGGGGTCGTAGGCCGGATCGTCTCGTTTGAGGTTAACATAATTTAAGGCAGCAGGAGCCGAGCTCCGTGGAGGTGGAGGCGGCCAGGACCCCAGAATGCCCATTTAACATGCTGCCAACGTGCGTGGCTCCGTGTGTGGGGCTGGCAATTTCGCAAATTATAAATTTTCCACCTGCGCAATGTGCTGGGTGCCTGGTCCGGCCCCTCCGAACCCCTTTGTCCCGCCACTGGATACTGGGGAAAGTTCCACGAGCAGAGAACTGCTTCCTGCACACGGGCAACAATCCGAAAATTGATCGCTGTTTCCGGCTTCTCTATTGCTTCGTCGCTGTTCGGGATA